ACTGTGATAAAGTTAAGCCAAATCTATTCTACTAAATTAGTAATTAATTGTGCTATGTTATTTTTGGCTAGAGACACTGTTTATACAGAAAAATAGTTATCATTGACATTGATTTCCCTTTGCAAAATGGTATGCAAGGGAATAGCTTGTAATTCACAATTTACAATACTTCTAATATTTTGCTACAAATTAGGAATCTTCAACTAAACTTACTTTGTATTACACTGGGTTTTTATACGAGAAAGTGATCACACTGACGGTGACTTTTTGCAAGACGTTTAACATTGTTTATTAACATAAGCCTAACTACACATCTAACACCAAGTATGAAATTCTTTAAAATAAGGTAAAAAGCAAAAAACAAACAAACAAACATATTTTCTGGTCTATTATGGGCTACTACAGTATGTGGCTAGTACAATATCCTGAAAATGTCAAGTAATTTATTTTATATTATTGATACATTAATACGCATACAAAGAGGGTTATGACATGTCATTAATAACTAACCTGTGAATACCCTATAGTTGAAAAACATACAATGCAAATAAATTGTAATAAATGCATAAGAAAGAATGGAGCATAAAATTAATTATGTCAGTTGCATGATGTACATCTAGTTAAAAACAGGATTTTGGAATAATATATGACCTGGCTTGGTAAAACTTGAAATGACAATCATTCAACAGAAAAGAAAAACTAAAATAATGCCTACAGAAACAAGTAAGACACTACTATTTGTCATCAAAATGGATTTGCTAAAATTATATCTGCAATCACTCTAAAAATATGTGACTTTAGCCGCTTCGAAGATTCTGTGATTTGGCATTCCAGTGACAGGATAACAACCTTCCAGTATGTATGTTCTGTGAAGACTGGGCATATAGACTATTCTGGTAGTTTACCACCAAATAAGGAACCAGCCCAAGCTTATCCCATGGTATGTATGTAGTACAGGGTTGTTGGTCTTTGCTGGAGTGCTAAAGGCATGGAAGCCACAGATGCTGATATAGATGCTGTACTATGTTTGTCTTGCATTCACATGTTAGGAAATATTAAAACTGTCAAAAAGAAATTCTTGAAAGATTTTTTCTTAATTACTTAATTGATTTGTGCATATGAAACATTAACAAATATTTAGATATAAAAGTATAAAAAAGACTGAACTGCTATGCAAAGCTTGGGATGCAACTGATGCAATTACACCAATGGTTTTGCAAAGTTATTTGGTCTCATACCTTTTCTCCATTCAGAAAAAGTTAAACAACACTATCTCTGTCACATAAAGCTCTATATCTCTTGAGATGTAACATGAATAAATTGGATATCTATATCATTCTGTTCACCATCATCATTACAGTGAACACTCTTCTTAATTTTACAATTATTTTTATCACCAAAGTTATAAATCTTTATCACAGGGTATCATAAACAGAAATATACATAAGGAAGAAATTCTAGAAGCTACATACACCAATCACAACTGACAAAGCATGTACATATAGATATAAATAATAATAATAAGGAAAATAAAGACTTCCAACATAATTACGTAACCAAACATAGAATAAGAAGAGACCATTTACATAGGCCTATAACAAGCCAATTGCCTAAGAGTAACGAGGTTATTGACACCCAAAGACCCATTAACTCCCCTTAACTTGTTTCAGAGTTAAACGTGGCATAATACTTAAGAAATAAATATATATTACCTTAACTGACGATGAGTGAATGGCCAGTGTCAGATAGGAAATGATTAGAACAAAATACGTTAAGGAGAGGAATTCTTATCTCAATGCACCAATCACGATGACATTGCACGTGTACATGCAACATATGTATTCCCATGTTGTTATATTGAGATTTAACAAAGTATTTCGCGAAGGAATGTATTTGACATTGAATATACGCTAATTCTTGTAAGTGATTCATACAAAAGTGTAATTCATACATACATTTTATATTTTTAATCATATCGGCAAGTTGGTTTTACGTGTTGGTGTCTGGCAAGCTATATATTATTTTGATATATTTTCTCGTGATCTGTATTTGAGAGTGAGAATGTTCTTTAACAGCTTTGTAGTGATAATGATTTTGTGATACTAGTATTAGTATTAATAATAGTAGTAGCAGTAATAGTAACAGTAACAGTAGTAGTAGTAGTAGTAGTAGTAGTAGTAGTAGTAGTAGTAGTAGTAGTAGTAGTAGTAGTAGTAGTAGTAGTAGTAGCAGCAGCAGCAGCAGTAGTAATGGTAATGATAATAGTAATAACAATAATAACAACAATAACAACAGCAATGATAATAATAGTAATCATCATCATCATCATTATTATTATTATTATCATTATTATTATTATTATTATTATTATTATTATTTTTATTATTACTATTATAATTATTATTAGCATCATCATCATCATTACTATTATATTGTTTTCATTATTATTACCATTATGATTATTAGTATTGTTATTGCTGTTGTTATCGTTATTATCATTATTATCACTACTGTTACTAGTATGATAATAAATATGATGATGATAAATAGTAATAATAATAATAATGATAATAGTAATAATAGTAATAATAATAATAATAATAATAATAATAACAATATAACGATAACGATAATGACAATGAAAATAATGATAGCAATAATAATATCAATAACAATAACAGTTGCAATGATGATGATGATGATGATGATAATAATAATAATAATAATTATTATTATTATTATAATAATGATAATGATAATAATAATAATAATAATAATTGTAATTATAGTAATAGTAGCATCAGTAACTACAATGATAGTAATAATAATAATAAAAAATAATTATAGTGTTAATGTTAATATTGATAGGATACATGAAGTTGAGTAATAATAATGATGCTCATATGTGACAACAAAAACAAAAAATGCAATGAAATATATAATTAAGATAAAATTAATAATGACAACATCAACAATGATAAATATAATAATAATAATGATAACAAAAAAAAAGATAATGATAATGATAACAAATTGATAGTACTTAATTCATGATAGTAATAACATCAATATTGATACTAAAACTAATAATAATAACAGAAAAAAAATATTGTGATAATAATAATTATTACTATGATAATAATAATATCAATAATCATATCAATATTATTATGAATCTGAACAAAAATTATACCATTGCTAATAATGCTAATGACATTGCTAATGCGATAATTATGTTGATGATGATAGCTATAAAATGAAAATGGCTACAGAAAAGCTAACGATAACCTTTAAAAACTAGCAATAATGATAATACTAAAAATAGTTCGGTAGTTGTAGTAGCATCAGTAATTATAGTAGTTAGGGACACTGAAAATATTTCTGAACTGTTCACAGTCTGGCTCTCAAAGCAGATAAGGTTACTTTGGTTAACCCATTGCCGCCGGGAAAAACGAACAAAAAATGGGGAAAATACTGAGCCTATTTACTATTTTTTTTTTGTGAATAGTCTGCCCATAGATGGCTCTGTTAACGCCTGATTTGAATACGTATTTTTCACTAGTGCCATGAATATCGATGGTGTTATTATTATAATTTTTATAATGTTTTTTTAACATTAGTAACGGCAAAATAAGATAACGTAAAATATTTCGTAAATTTTAGAAAAAGGTGAACGGGCGAGACAGGCGGTACTCGTAACTGACTCATTGGTGATTTAGTACAAGTGTAGCCATCTATGTGTAAAAACAATCCAACAAGTAATCTCACAGTGGCCATGGCATGGCATGCCCGGCGGGAATGGGTTAATAATTATATATATATATATATATATATATATATATATATATATATATATTTTTTTTTTTTAAGGATTAGCCTGTTATCACACATTAACGTGACAATGTCACGGCTTACATAAGTTACTGTATCGATTTTTAAAAATGTTTTTATGTTTTTATTTCATTTTCTTGCGGTAAAAGTTTAATAGGTTGGTAGTAATATTAGATGTAGATTATATTAATAGCGATGGTGATTATAATAATGATAACAATGATAAGAATGATGATGATAATTTCATAACAATTATGAAAAAATAATGATTCTAATATCAATACTCTGTAATACATTAATTTTGTAAGTTTATTTAATTTCAAACAGTAGTTTACTGTAGGCTTATAACATAATTCACACACTTATGGCTTATAACATAATTCATACACATATATGTATAATAGTGAATTTCCCTATTATTAATCTACTGATGTCAAAGTAATATTTTATTACAAAATTAATGCACGTCCTGTATCTACCCTGACACACACACTCAATAAAGATACCATACACTGATTATTGACATCAGTAATCATCTATTAAGATTAACTTACGCCAGCCTGCTATTATTCTGCAAAAAATCTTTAGAAACTTCCTCTTTCCTTCAAGAATGTTACCATGCACCTTAGTCTATCCACTGATGTTTTGTCGTTGGCCAGCATCTCGATCAGACTAACCGTATAAAACATGTAACCGCACATCCACATTTCTTCAACATTATTAACCAGAGCTTGGGATGTTGCATCGACCGTAGCGCCGTTAATGTGCAGGGCTTCAGTTAGCGCTTGCCAGTAGCTGTCCAAGACCTCCGTCAGGTGTCGGAGGAGGACCTCGGTGTGGCTGCTGATTAACAACATTGTTACGAGGTCACATAATGGGTTGTCAACACAGGCGAATTGCCAGTCGATGGTTGTGGCGATAGTGTCGTCTGGCGAGAAAAGGACGTTGCCCTTCCACAGGTCGCCGTGAATCACCGTGTCGAAGAAGTGGCTTCGCATCTTAATGAGTTGTTCCGAAAGAGGTCGAATGGCTCTCAACGTCTCTTCTGTTGGTGTCCCTCGGAACATCTCTATTTGCCTCTCGAGGCCTTCGTTAAAGAAGCCCCTGAGAAAGTCGGCGGAAGGAACGTTAAAAAAGCCTTTCTCGCATTTCTTCAGAGAAACGACTCC